ATATTGAAGCTTTACTGTACTTGTACTACTTGAAAAGTCAGATACTCCCAGAGATGTATCACTAGAATTTGTCTGACGCTTATGTTTGACAGCTAGCTTCACTGTAGTTTCTACTGTTGATGATTCAGGAGCATCATCCTGCAATGTTTTGTTTTCATAATCTGAATCAGAAGAACTATCAAACTGTTTTACTTCTCTAGGAATTACAACTTTTGTGGCTTCTTCTGGTTTGAATTCCATGAAATAAGCCTCTACATTACTAATTATAGGGGTTTCAAATGAGGAATTAGGTGGAGAAGGCCACTCATCTTCAGGATTTAGAAGAGGTGGGGGTATTTTAAAACCTAGAGGCTCTGGTGGTAAAGGAGGCAGCGGATGCTCTTCTATTTCAGGATTTGTAGAAGGATCAGATGATAAGCTTGGCTGTCTATCACTGGACATAAGAGATTCGTCTTCAACTGATAATGACCTAGATGATGGTTTTGTAGAAAGGTCATCTTCAAGATCAGATCTTTCTTGCTCGGAAGTAGTACTTCGTTCTGAAATTCTGGACAAGGTTCTTGATAGGCCAAAAACACCTCCAGTGTAGCTACCGATCAATGATTCCGCACCAACTACAGAATAACCAAACCCTTGATACTCTTCTTTTGTAGAATTACTGCTCCCTTCTTCTTCATCAGCAAAATGAGAACAATCGTCAGGAGGAAAAATACCTTCTTCTAAACTAGATGATCCTGAGCTTTCAAGTGAAAATGGGACCCAAGAATTTTTTTCTGGTTTTATGCTTGAAGAACTTGATGCATCTTCATCAAAACTGCGTTTAGGTGGTATCAATTTGGTATCAACTTGAGCCGGCTCTTCAATTTTTTCACAAATTTCAGATAAAGGTATAATATCTTCAGCAACAGGAAAACTGGATTCTGTTTTTTTCGGAATTGATTCTGCTTCTTCATTTTTTTCAGTTTCTTCAGGTACATTAACAGGAATAGTACTTTCTTCACACTCTTCGAATAATTCTTCACTAGATAAATTCTCTTTATCATTACAGGTATCTGCATTATTAAAAATTTCCTTATCTTTCTCAGAAAAACTAACATCCTTAGGAGACATATGTTCTTTTAGAGCTTCAATTGGATCTGGAGCAAATGCATCATCATCATTGCCCCAATCGACTTCTTCAATATCAACAGTAGGTATGCCAGGTACATCAGTTTCTTCAGATGTCCAAATGTCAACAGAATAACTTTTTGTGTTCTTAAAAGAATCAAGCCTTTCCTGACGAGTACTAGGGCGCCTCTCAGTCGATGGCTCATTTATATCACTTTCAAGAATATCAGAACCAGATCTTTTTCTTACTGGATCTGGCGACAGCTGCATCATAGATTCTTCACCTGATTTGTGTGCTAATTGAATTTCCTCACTGATACATTTAGATGGGCTCAGTTCTTGTTTAAGAACTGGACTATCTGCAAGAGGAGAAGAAATAGGTGAAGGAATAGACTTCTCAATATCAAGCTGTTGTTCACACTCCATGAATTCCAAGTCATCATATGTAAATTGGCCACCATCACTTGGTTTCCTAGGACTTTCATAAAAAAAATCTGATTCTGGTACCTTTTGTTCATCACTGGCATTTGACAATTTATCCATATCTTTAAGTAAATGAGAATGAAGCTTTTTGGGTTCAGGCAAGGCTTGATCTTGATCACTTAAATCTAGAAAATTCAGATTAGTTTTATCAATAGGAGAAATTTTATTAAAATCAGGAGATATTTCTGCAACCGTACAAGGACTCGACTTGGTATCATCATCTGTATTTATAGATTCCGATGGAGGTTTATCATTTATTATTAAAGGAGAAGGTACCTGAGATCCAGAACGTTGCTCAGAGTTCCCTTCACAAATTTCGATGTTATTCGGCAATGTTTCTGAACTTATCGTCGAAAGATCATCATCGACTTTCGTTTGTTTTAAGTTTTCAATAAGAGGTATTGAATTTTCAGGAGCAGTACCTAAATCATCTTTTTTAGTACTGTCAAGATTTACAGGAGTGTTTTGGACAACAGGTGACATATTATTCAATTCTTCTTCTTCAATAACATATTCTTTCTGAATTGGTTTGATTCCTCGAAGAGATTTTTCTTCTAATTCTATTCCTTCATCATTATCTAAAGTATCATCTTTACTAGAAAATGATGTTATAGGTGGTAATCTGTGCAAAGAAACAACAGGCGCATCTAATGATTTTGCTCTACGTGAACTTGCTGGAGACTGTGAATGGGTTGGTGAGAAAGCAGATCCTTCAGAGAAGCCCAGCCTTGCAAAAAGAACAGGTGAACGTTCCCGTTTAGCAATAGGTGTTAACTCACCAAACTTTTTCCAAACCATTTCTGGAGATGTCACTTGTTTTGTCATATCCTGCTTTTCACATTTAGATTCTTTTAAACTTTTTGTACCATCATCTTTCTCATCTTTAGGGCTTGGCTTCTCAGGTAAAATGGGTGGTTGAGGTTCTAAAGGTAAATCAGTAGGAACTTTAGTTTTAGTAGGAGTCTCTTTATCTTGGTGGGAACTTTTTTTTCCTTTCTCTATGACAACAATATCTTTCTCAATAATGATGACTTCAGAAGTAATGAGATTCCAATCAGGTTTACTCTTTTTTTCTACTTTTCTTTTAATTTCAGGCTTAGAATCTAATGAAAAACTTTGTTGATCTATCTTTCCGGATCTAGTTTCTGATAAGGCTTTTTTTTCAAAACTATGATGTTGAACACTTGCATCTATTTTAGTGTTACTACTTGAAGTGATGTTTCTTTCAGTATTTTTTAATTCTTTTTCAGGCACTTTATTTATTGTAACATCACTTTTTTTCACATCTAAAAAAACATCATCATTTTCATCATTTGTTTCCGAATCGATTTCCCTTCTAGGTAAATTTCCTTTTAAAATCTGCTCCTTATTAATGTTAACAATGGTCTTATGTTCTTTGGAAGCCAAAATAGGTTTAAGAGATGTTTTTTCAGCACCAAGTTTACCGACTTCACTTTCTTGATGTTCATCTTTGTTCTCTATCAGAGCTTCCATGCTCTTACCTTTTTTTTCAAAAGATCTTTGTTTTTCAAAAGAAGCATCGTGGTCACAAGTACAATAACCTTGAGTTTTGAAATCTATTAATGCTTTTAAGGAGGATCTTTCTGGTACTTTAGAATCTCTGTCCATAGTTCTGTCAAGGCTTTCAGATTTTGACTTTATCAGTTTTTCTGCTTTCTTTCGCTCCAATTCTTCACTTCGCTGTTTTTTCAATTCTCTTTCCTCTTTGGATTCTCTAACTACTTTTCCTTCAATGCTTGTTTTTATTTCTTTACTGAACCTTTCTCTCCTGAAATCTATTCTTTCAGGCAAATCACAACTAGAACTAGATTCACTTTTCCAATCCCTCAACTTATCTCTTCGACGACCAGTATCACTATCGGATCTTTGAGAATCGAAACTACTCACTTTCTTCTCTATTGAACTTTTACTGTCAGAGGAACCTCTTTTTTGAAACGCTCGCTTTCTACTAGTTTTATATTCAACGATTATAACATCAGGGTCACTAGTGTCAACAGATATATTCTTATCATCAGAACTACAAATTACAATACCTTCGCCATCCTGAGAATCAATTTTAATCACTTCCACAGGAGGATTTCTCTCAAAGGATGGGTTTTTTCTTAAATCAGAATCAGCACTTAAAGCTTTTGTCTTTACAAGAACACCTTTAGTTCTAGGACCATCTTCACTTTTGACCTTTAAAAGATCTTTTTTGACTGAGGATATCTTGGGAGCTTTAGGAATTTCTTCCTTTAATCCTCCATATTTGCCATCTGGTTTCAAATTCAAGGCATTATTTTTTGAATTTTGATCGACTAAATCATCCACACTTTCAGCTCCTAAACTCAAAGAAAGTCCAGAATCCTGTGAATTCAAATCTGAATCCTGTTTTGTTTTGGATAATTTATTTTTCGTCTTTAAAGACTTTTTCTTTTCAGGTTCAACTGTTAATCTTTTATCTGGACTTTTTCTAGGGGAAACTGGAGAGCGGCATTCATAAATAGAAGAAGTACCATTCATCTGTTGGCGTTTGTATAATGTATAAGGAATATCTGCTGTACTCTTACTTGCTTGCCCTCTATCTTCAGAAGAATCAATACTTTCTGTTGGGGTATAATCAAAGCTTTTCTGATGAAATAATTTTCTGTGCTGTCTAGCAACTTTCCAAAAATCGGAAACATAAGGTTCACTTTTAGTTCTTTCAACAGGATAGCGTTCAACTTCTTCATAACCAATTACAGCACCTGGCTTACATTTGGCATCAAACTCGTCAAATTCAACATTCTTTTCTCTGTTCTTAGCAAAGCCTAATTTACATTTTTCATTAAATTCATTAAAACCTATATCTCTATAACGCGGCTCGACATAACCTAAACGTTTTTCAACATCATCTTTATAATCTTCGATGACAAATATTTCATCATCAGGTAAAACTTCCCCGCTAGAACCTAAAGAACATGACCTACTATGAACATAACTTTTTGCTTCCCGCTCTAATAATTCATAAGAATCATGGCTTAAATCATCATGACTGAACTCGCGGGAACTTCCAGTGTCCATCACTAAAACAGAACCACCAGGTTCTATTTCATCAGCGCTCTCAGTAGAGAGTGAGCTTGTGGTTCCAGGATAACTGCTTGAGTAAACTTTAGCATCTTGTTCTATACCACTCCTATCAAGAGAAGGAGTTTTAGAACCAGCAATAATAAAATTTCTTTCATATTTTGCCTGCGGTTTCTCTATTTCAACAGGTTCTTGTGGCTTACGAAGCTCTTTACAGCTTGCTGAACGATGCCATGTAAAAATGGGAGTGTGGACTTCAGGTTCTGCCTCTATTTGTTCTACAAAATCAACAATGTCTGTCTGTGAAGAGGTTGTATTATACTGTTTATAAGAATGGTGCAGACCTGTGCGCTGACGCTGGTCTCGGAAAGTGTGAGGGGAGGAATGACTCTGATTCATCCGATCCACAGGAGAGGTCCGGCTCGGAGAATCCACCCCCGCAAGCACCATCGACCCGCATGACGCTGACACTAAAACAGATTCTTATAATAACACTCATAAAATGAAAAAAACAAAAACAATTAAAAGTAATTAATTTAATTATCATTATAAATTTAAGAGTAAATAAAAATAAAAGTTTAGTCAAAGAGGAGCAACACACAAGGTATAGAAAACAACATAATTATTAATAAGTAATTATCCAGATACAGAAAAAATTTAAAAATATAATTGAAAAAATTTAAAATGGTAGTTTAGCATTAAATCATTAAAATGGGTTAATTTAATTAAATCAAAAATAAAATAAATTTGAAACTACCATATCATATTCTACTATAAGTACAAGAATAAAAACGAAAACAAGGAATATAAATTCTAAACAAAGAAATTTTGATTTAATTAAATTTACTTTTAGATAATTGAAAGATAAAAAATCTCAAATTTATTGTTCCTGGCATGGTTATTTGTAAAAACAAGAAAAAATAATAACACATTTCATTCAATTTTTAATGGAGTTAATATGAGAAAAATACATTAAAAAAAAATTAGAAGGAAGATTCAAAAGTCAAAAATGATTAATAAGATTTTTTGACAAATTTAACTCTTTGATTTCATTTAGACAAATGAATAATATAATGCTATCATTATATTTAAAGAATCATCTCACGGTAACTTTATATTTTAAATTTATTATTTATTAGTAGTTATTATACTTGTAACATCTAAAATTTTAGAAATTCTATAAAATAAAAAAAGGGTATACCAAAATTATAATTATAATGGCCCACAGGAACAACTATTTATTAAACTTAGTTAAAAAACTTGAACTGATTGAACACTTGAAGTATGGTAAAAAAAAAAAAAAAACCTGTAAGAAGCGATTAATCACCTCCCAGTAAAGTATGTTCAATCGTAAAGGGGCTGTCTATTTGTAGAGATAGGGAAGGTCGAGATTCTTTCTGTGAGTCTGCCATGAAATACAATTTCAAAAAGACCAAATTTGAACAATCGCCTCTTGACTAGATGAGATAGGTAATCATAAAATAATAGGTTGGGAAAAAAATTTCAGTATAAGTTAAGAATAAACTGATGCCATTAAAAGATGTTTCCTTAAACAGAGATCGAATGCCTATAATACTACATATAACTTGAAAACCAGTAGTTTTGCTTATTCAGCCCATCATTTATAGGCGGTCTGAAGCAAAATCAGCAACTATGTCTCAACAATTTCATTTTCTTTTTGTTAACATAACAAACTTATTGCGCGACTAATCATTGCATCTGTGGGCCATTTGATAGAAACTTTCAGAATATTTAAAAAAACTACAATTTTAACAAATAATGGGAATTAATAATCTTTAATGAGAGGAGCTTACGGGCAGAGGTTTAATACTATAGCTTACAGGAAATTATAAATAAAGGAGCTTAGTTACTCAGGTTCAATTTTAATCATTTCTATTAAATATAAATATATTATTTATTAAACTCACCCAAGGCCAATTAAACAGATTTTATTTTTAATATAAATTTTCATAAAAAATTATCTAAGAGATAATTTTAATGAATAATCAATTTTTTGTTTTTTATTTCAAGTAGAAGAAATATGCTTTAGCTTTTCATATAATTTCAAACGAGTCATCATAAATGAAACAAAATATTCTTAATAGATGTTAATAAAAATTATAAGATACGTAACAAATAATTCTATAACTTTATCTCAATAATCTGTAGATTGTTAAGTTTCTTAATATTCATTAATATATTAATAATTTTTTTTAACAAGTAATATTTCAAAAATATTTAAACTTAAATCATTGAATTGGCTGGAGATTAAGAATGAATAAAATTGGAAAAAAAAAAAATGAAAGATGTTAAGTGTTTTCTTTATGGTGATAAAACATTTTAAAAATCTGTAATCAAAATGAAAATAGCTAAACATTGAACAGAAATCGAAGTCACTTCTAAAAGCCATGAAATAGGAAGTATAATGATGACAGACTTCCAAAAATTAATGCTATCAATGCTAATCACTAAATGGATCAAAAACCTCTGAGACGATCATGCCACTAACACACAATTAGACATGACGAAGTCAGCATCAAACTGTTTCCTCGAAAATGTTTCAGAATATACATACATTTTAAGGCCGTAGAGGTTTTTGCAAAAATGGAGAACAATTTAAAAATATTAAGGTATGAAATTTTAAGTAAGGATTTTAACCTTTTACAGTAAGAAAAAAAGGGATATTGGGGAAAAATTAATTAAGATTAAGAGTGTTAATTAAGATATTAAAAAAAAAAAAACATAAGAGTTCTTCAATAAATTTGGTATTTGTCTTTAATACAACCCTTAATTCGAAATTATCATCAGACAACCTATTTGTTATGGCCTGATTAGGGACGGTGGTCTAAGAGAAAAGTCTATCAACGGGAGCAAGGGGTAAAGCAGTGTTATATTCTAGAAACACCGCTTTTATTGCGGGAAAACAATCTAGACTTTTTAAGTTGTTGGTACATAAATTTGCAAAAAGTCTTAGTGCTTTTAATTCAGAAGAAGCCATAGACGAAATGGTTTTATCAGCTTTTTCTCCAAAATTGAAATAACTCTTCAAATTTAATCCCCATGTGGAAGTACTATTTAGATTTGAACAGTCGCCTCTGGAGGTAATATGCAATACATACAGCTGATTTCTTTCTTGTTTTGTCAGAAATAAAAAGTGAATAAAATAAAATGGAGCTTTTATCAAAAGCAAACGGCACATTTTATCGAATCAGAAAGAAATACAAAAATAATCAAAACTTTGAAGAGAATCTTTTTCTAGAAATTGGACAGATAAAAGGTTGTGTGTTGATACAGCTCCAACTTATTGTTCAGTTTTACACTGCAAACTTGTTAAAAATAGTAAACTATTATTTTATGAATAACAGTTCACTTCTACGACGGTGAATAGTTTTTTGATTGTTGTAATGATTATTTGATTTATATGATATAAATAAAAAAGGTGTTTACATATTCTTCCTGAAAATATAACCTTTAATAAAACTAATATAATTGCTATTATTTTGAAAATGATAACTCAGTGGAAAAAGCAAAATCTAAAGATGTCGGAGGAAGTCTTGGGTAAATTCATTTAAACGGTATATCGTAATATATTTTAAACATTAAATCAGTATTAATTATTTCAATAACTAAATTTTTCAAAATTAAAAATAACTAAAATCAGAACAGTTTTCAGCAAATTAAAAACCACCTGAGGAAAAACTATTATCTGTCCTAAGGGCCTAATATAATTGCGTATCTACTTAAATCAATTGGAAGGCTGTCAGATCAAAAAAAAGAAAGATTTTTCTCTTCATTCAGCTCAGCTTCGATTTTGATATATATATAAAAAATGTCATTACAATAGTTTACTTTATAACAAAGACAAACATTGAGAAAGTGGAACAAAACCTATTAATCATAAATTAAATCATTAACCAGACAAATAAAAATATTTTAAACTTTTAATGAACTATCGAAGGAAGTTAGTAAACTGTTCTACATATCATGGATGATAAATATTCAGGACACAGTCATTGTAAAGTTTTTATTAATGCCGACGTTTTAACCCAAACATGAGGGTCATCATCAGGGTGTGTTTCGAGCACTGAAGGTATTCAAGTACTGCACTTGAGTACTTGAATATGTCCAGTGCTCGAAACACACCCTGATGATGACCCACATTTTTGGGTTGAAATGTCGGCACTAATAACAACTTTATAATGAGTGCGTTCTGAATATTTATCACCTTATCAAAAGTATTCTTTATTATTTTTTTTTCCTTGTGGCTTCCTAGGCTCTCAGTAAATCACGAAATGGCAACTTGAAATGGCTATCTATTTATCAGTTGAGGTCAGCCGATAACATGCCTATTGTGATGCTTTCTGTAAACCTGACCGCTACCTAACTAAAGGAAGTCTTCGGCCTACATAATTACCAATATTGAATTACCTAATGCAGTTATCTATCTCAATTTTTAATCAAGGATTAATAAAAAAAAAAACTATTGCACATTTGGTATTTCAATTAATAAATAAAAATAAGAAAATGTATTTTAAAAATGGATAATTATTAATAATGATTTCTATTTGAATAAATGGATGAAGTCTAAACACCAATGGGATGATACTGGACAACAAGGACAAAAACAAGTTTCTGAACTGAGTACAGGAGATCAAGATAAAAAAAGACAACTGTTTTGATACTAATTCATGCATTAAAAAGGGACTAAACCGCAGATCTTAAAAGAGTGACAGTTGGCAAACTGGAAGGAGTCAAAAATAAATAGAAGGCACCTAGGTATATTGGAGGAGCACTGCATCTATTTCACATCACCGTCACTTCATTTGAAAGTAACTTAATAAACTTATACATATGAAACTTGATTTGAAAGACCTGTATAGCCAATTCTTGTTCTGCTAAGATCATCTGAAACTAATCATTAAACCATAAATGGACTGAATCCTAAAAGAGAATATACATTTTTCCAATAAATAGTTTCAATCAGTGTTTGACTTATTGAAACTATGACTATGAATTGATATGGACTTATTGAAAGTATGATTCTTCTCTTGACTTTAGTTAACTATATTTTTGGCTGAGTAACAATCTTTGGTAAAGATATGAAACTGGATGTTTTCCATTAAAAAGTAGTAAATGCAATTTTAATGAAGTATTAAAATTTAATACAATAATCTCAATCATAATACATTATATTTTTGATAAACAAAATTAGCTATTCTAAATATTAGAGTGATGAATAATAGTTTTAAACTGATTTCTTTCGCCTATACACGTTCCAGATTATATCACATGAAACAAATTTTTTTAAGTTAAAATTAATGGAATCAATTAGTTATCTATAATAATAACTGTTTATTAATTATTTAAAATACTTTAATTGTTTTAAAAAAAATTATTTATCTTTTCTAACACTCATTTATTCATTATCATAATTATTTTCTTATATAAAATAACATAATTGTTGAAAAAA